TATTTGACCCTAATGATGTGGTGCAGAGGGAGTCAGGAGGGCAGGTCTGCCTGCCTGCAGGAGTCAGCATGGCTCAGCTTCCTCCAGCCCTGTTGAACCAGCTCTTATCTGCTTCAACACCCCCCAGAGAGGTTTATAACGGTCCTCATTTTTGTGATTTGAATTGCTGTTCTACTTCAGTAAAACGCCTGCTTGAGAGGGCCATAGCTAGAGATAAAAGCTGAGACCTGCCTATCCTGCCATGGGGGGAGGGGGATACCTTTCCAGGCAGGATATCTGCATCTTGCAGCTGGGACTAACACGGAGCTGGTGGAGGGCTCCTTTCCCAGTCCTGGGGTTGTGCTGCATCTGGTACTTGGTCTCTAAGGCACAGGGAAACCCCCTCATCGTGTCGTTCTGTGATAGTGTTTGCAAGTCTCTCCCCTCCATGCTGCTGCCCTCACATCTGTTCCCTGCTTTTCTGGAGGTCTTTTCTTCATTTGACTGGAGGAAGCCTTCCCCTGAGGCCTGCTGCAAACCAGGATTTGCCCCAATGTGGCACACATGCTCTTGAGCTCTGAACAGACCCCAGCTGTACTGGGAACACTGGTGCTGTTGTGGGCTGACAGTCAAGGGCCACACAGGCTTGGCTACCAGAATATTTGCAGCTCATGGAGATGTTGACTCCCTTCCTAGTTCTAAAAACTGGCTAAAGCTGGTAAATCCTGGCACTGTTTTTGCTCCCAGCATTAACACTACGATATGGCTGTTGCTTCCCCTTTGGTACCCGAGACTAGCAAATGGCTGCTGGTCCTTCCCTGGCAGGCGGGGAGCTGGCTGGGAGCCCCCAAGCTCTGCCCTGCTGCTCCACCTTGTCTTCCTAACATTTCAGCAGAACCAGAGAGCACACACACTACTGCGTGTCTCTAAGCAATACCCTTCTCCCTGCTGTGCGTCTGGTAGGAGAGCAGAGTACAGCCAGCCCCTGAGCCCCGGGGACGGACGGAGGATGCTGGAGGGGGGCAGCTGGGGGCGGTCAGAGGCCTGGGCCCTGTTCCTGCGGCTGGAGAGTGGATGTTTAGATTCCGTGCTGCTGGCAGGGTTGCATGGGATAGGGAGCCAGCAGCTCACTGCGGAAAAGCAGGGCTGCTCTCCTGCAACGCAGCAGTACCAGGCCACTCCTGCTTGCAGGGTGGCTCTGCTCACCTCTGCCAGCTAGGCTGACTCTGCCCTCGCTCCTCGGGCCTGCAGAGCTGCCTGGCTCACAGAGAACAAGCTGCATCTTTCTCAGTCTCACTTAATTCACTAAATGCCAGCTCCAGATCTGTTACCCCTGGCACCTGAGAAAATCAGCTTTTCTTTCTGGGGCCAGGGTCTGCTAGCAGCTGGGATACGGTCTCCTCTGTGGCCGAGCTGAGCTGGAGTCAGCAGCAGCACCAAGCTGCTCGCTGCTGTTCCTGCAGAGCCACCTTCCCCTCCCAGGCCTTAGCTCCTGCCCTGTGCCACGACCTGCTGTAGGTGACGAAAGGCAGCAGATACCAGGCGTCCCTGCTCCAGAGGAGGCACCTCCAAGGTTTCCTTCTCTGGGTGATCACAAACGTTTATTTTCCTGCACCCTCCTTCCCCTGCTAGACTTGGAGGGAGCCCAAGCATATGAACGGAGCCTTTTGGATGGTCTTGCCAATGCCACCCTTCCCTTGGCCACTGAGGTATCCAAGGGTCAGGGTGCACAGCTTCAGAGAGAAATTTCCTACATCAAGATGTTTTTAAATGGTGTATATTTTATATTAAATTTTTTGGGATGTATGTAAAAATATTTGATTTGTATTAAAGCTTGTAAATTGTATTAAAAAAAACCCAAACCCAGACCCACATGCATCCAGTGTATGAGCGGCAATAAATGATTGTCTTGGCTAACGCACGCAGTGAGAGTGGGAGGGAGTTTGCACCCAGCAAAGTGAGGAGATAAAAATGTGTATGGCTGCTCGGGTGATGGGGCCCGAGTTACCTGGCTCACCCGCTGTACGGACACAGCCCGAGAGCTGGATGCTCCTGGGACCCGATCCTGGCACTTTTTCCCACTTTCTGCTCAGCTTTGGGCGAATCTGTCCAGCTCTGCATGCCTCTTCCTACAGAGGAACAGCCCCATTGCCTCGCGGTCCCCCGGATCCCAGGCACAGCACGCGTGGTTGTTCCCAGGCGCTGCTTCGGTCGCGGCTGGTGGCACGGTTTGAAGCCCTCTGGATGAAAGGAGAAAAAGCAGCACGGCAAGACGAGGAGGTCTAGGCTTCTTGTTCCGAGCAAAGCAGGACCTGGTGTCACCGCGGCCGCGCTCTGACCACCGAGGCGGCTGGAGGAGCGCTTGGCCCGGGGTAGCTGTGGCTTCAGACGTGCCCAAAGCCGGGCAGCGGGGCACTGGAAGGCAGCGCTGGTCCCCAGCGCTCTCACCATGTTACTGCCGTGGTGGTGAGACTCAAACGGAACGTTAACCTCACTGGAGGCGACAGCGGGACTCTTACCAGGGGAGATTACCTGAGGAAACCCAGATCTTGAGCACTCAAGGGGCCAGGGTAAAGCTGATCCTCGATGAACTTCAAACAGAGCAGGAGACAAGCTTGTCTGATTTGACATGAAGGAGACAACTAGGCAAAACTATCAAAAGGGTAAAATATGCCCCACTGTTTAATAGAATTTAGTCTTAATGGATGTTAGTGGAAAACAAAGCACATGATTAACGCAAACAGAGCAGATGGTTTAAAATCTGTTGTCAGTCTGGTGATTACACGGGCTATTTTTTCCCCTCACCGTCTTGCTGCACGGAGCAGGTGCAGCTGGGGTCAGTTAGTCCCAGTTGCAGTGTACATAACTTACACACCATACAGTAGCTTCAAAATAGAGATCTAGAGCTTAAAAAATAGGCATTCTTCTGCAAAATCAAGTGTTTCATTCCCTTATTGACAACGAGAGCAGCGTGGTGCTGCCCTCAGGCGGCTCAGACAGCGACAGCTCCACCCCAGCGTCCTCCCAGCCCTGACCCTAGAGTACGAGACTTGCAGTTCTGGTTAGTAAATATATATAATAAATCACATTTAAAATATATACATTGGCCTTTAAAAAAAAACATTTACAGTTTATCAACATTGGAAAAAAAAAATAACTGGGCTTGTCCCAGGCTGACTCGTGAGAATAAAAATCAGTTTTAAAAGGTTTCTGCAAACCTTTTGATAAAGTGCCACTGGTTGTAGCTATTTAAAAACAATCGGGTCCACGACGTAGCACTTGCCTGTCAGACACGGTCATTTAAATACACTCAACGTGACGTATAAATCAGAGCAACCAACTAGCCAGGAGAAGTCTCAACTGCCTCAAACTCACCTCAAGTCCCAGCCAACAATGTATTTTTTTTTTTTTCCAGGGCTTTTCTGTCTTCGCTTCTCAGCCGAGAAGCCAGGCAGGTGCCTGCTGCCCGCCCGGCCCGCGGCGCGACCGCTGCTCATGAAGGGGCTGCGAACGGTCCGAATCGGCCGCAAACTCCTAAAAGGATTGGGAAGCAACTGCCTCTTCGGCCACCTTCTCCCTCTCCAGTTTGGTTTTGCGTTGGTGATCTTTTAAAAACGGGGGATATGTGGATTTTTTTTTTCCCTTTGTTTGGAATTTTTGTAGCAAATGGCACTTCAGTACAATCCTGGGTTCCCTTCTGGTGCTCTGATGCTTTCATTTGCTTGGCACGCCGAGCGCAAGCCAAGTTCGGGGCTCTTGGACATATTTAGACATGCACTACTAAACAGATCCTACTAGAGAAATCTGTCTGCGAGCTATGCAGCCGGTCCTCCCGCTTGGATGCGAGGAGCTATCGCTGCTGTTCCCCTGCCACAGCCGCGGGGCTGCGACCGCAGCCAGGCAGCCCGCGCGGTAGCGGCTGCCGAGCCCAACTCGGCCGGTGCACGCAGGGTCACCGCTCCTGCTGCGCGCGGGCGCCGCGGGGAAGCATCGCGCCGAGTCCCAAACGCTGCTACTGTTTAACGGCGCTCGCAGCGGAGTTTGTGCCAGCAGCTCCCCGCAGGGAGGGGGAGTGGGAAAAGGGACCGTTTTCTCCCCCAAAAAGGGATAGGGGAGGGGGAAAAAAAAAAAAAAAAAAAGCACTAACCACGCTGCTACTTCACCCTGGCAGCACCGGGGTGGGGGTTTGCGTAGGCACGGTGTCGGCAGAGGGCAGCCTCCGTTTCGCAGCACGCTCCAGCCGGACTGACAAATAGACGGGCCTTCGGCGCTGCCATCGCCATCCTCATCGCTCTGGGGAAGGGGCAGGTAGGCCTCCGTGTCCGGAGGGCCGTGGCGGAGCATCCGCCGCTTCGCAGGCTGTGCCAGCCCCGTCTCGAGGGGTGCGTGGATCCCACCGGAGGGATTTTGATCCACTTGGATTACACGCTGCCTGACGCTGACGCGTTTGGAAAAACCAAGAAATAAAGCAGAAAGGTTCCTTCTCGCTCCGTGAGCTGCCAAATTGCGACAAGCCCTGTCTTCTGTTAGCTGCTGTCAGGCCTTGCCAGGGCTGGGATCTGCTCAGTAAACAGCCAGCTCGGTGGCGGCTCCCCGGGGAGGTCTCTCCTTTGACACATTGTTGGCAGGGGATAAATAATAAGAGGCAGGACTCAGCAATGCAGCGGGGAAAGAGAAAGGTCCCTTGTGGAGGCTCCTCGGCTCTGTGCGAGGGAGCGAGGGCTTCTCCGTGGCCTCCAGGACCACATGTGCGGCCCCTCCGGGCTCTCCTCCTGCTGCCAGTCCGGTGGGAAATGCCTGACCCCCTCGGAAACCAGCCCGCGGCCGCGCTGGCACGTGTGATATGGAGCCAGGGGCGAGCAAGGAGGGGCGGCTGCGTTCCCAGCCACAGTGCAAAGCGTGGGGAGGGAGGCGGCTGGAGAGACCCGGAGGCACCGCTGGGTGCCGGATCCGCTCTCCCCCCATCAGGAGGGGCACTGGCGGGGCAGCCGGAGGCGGGGAGGGGAAGGAGGGAGCCAGCCTCAGTCCAGCATTGCGTCCAGCTGGTCGGCCAGGTCGTCGAACATGTTGCTGATGTCTTCCAGGATGTTCTTGGCCGAGTGCACGGCCCCGGGGTGGCTGGGGAGGAAAGGGAGAGAGTCAAAACACCACCCAAAGGCTTCAGGTGCTGACGGGGTAGGGCTGGCCAGGCTGGAGCCGACCCTCCCGGGGCCCCCCCCCCCCGGGCGCCAGCCGCAGCTCAGCACGCAGCGGGACTGGAGCATGTGTGACCTGCTCCGGCGCAGGCATGTGCCCGTGCACAGCCCTTCACCTGCCCTCACTGGGGGCTTCCCAGTTCCACCTCGAGGGGCCCAACCCCAGTGTTTCCCTCACCGCCAGCGCTGCCTCACCTCTCCGCCTCCTCCACCGTGATCTTCTTCTCCGCCACTTGCAGCGCGGCGGCCAGGGTGGAGTTGGTCTGCTCCAGCCGCTGCTGGGCCAGGGCGGCCCCCGGGGCAGCTGCCAAAGGCTTCGCCGACACCTTGCTGCCCGCCTCCAGCGTCAGTGAGCCGGGGCCGGCCAGGGACCCGATCACATCCGGCACCGCCTCGGCGGCCGTCCAGGGAGCAACGGTGTGGTGGGAGGGCTGCAGGACCTGCTGGTAGATGGTCTTGGGCCCGGAGAAGACCAGCTTGGTGGACGCCACGGAGGTGTGCTTGGCGGGGACGTCTGCAAAGGAAGGGGACTCGTGGCACACGGTGGCACACGTCCTCCTCGCCTCCCGTACCAGCCCAGGAGGAAGCCTCAGGTCCCACCGCCGCCTCAGAGACACCCCCACAAGCCCACGTACCTGGAGCGGGCGTCCTCACCACGGTGGTGCTGAGCAGCTCCGCGGGGCTGGTGGCTTTGGTGGGGCTCGGTGCCTTCTTGATCCCCTTCTCCAGCGACAAGATGCTTTTCTCTATCTCAGCAATCCTGAACTCCACGCTGTCGTCATCAAAGGCATCCCCGGCCAGCCCGGCCCGCGGCGCTGGTGCCGGCGTGGCAGGGCCCGTGATGCTCACTGCTTGGGCCTGGGCATACTGGGGCACAGGGCTGGCCCCCGCCTCAGCCTGCCCCGCCATGCTGAATGCCTTCAGCACCGCCTGCAGCGGCTCCCGCTCCCTGAAGCGGGGCCGGCGCTTCACCGTGTCCGACTCGGTGAGGTTGAACTCCAGCACAGGCGGCTCCTTGGTGGCAGCGGGCGCCGCTGGCTCCTTCCCAGCAGAGCAGGGGGGCTCTGCCGGCTGGGAACCGGGCTCTGTGTCCGGTACGGCTGCGTCGGCCTTGGGGTGCCCGGTGGGCTTTGGCCGCTGTTTGATGGTTAAGTTGCCTTCTTCTGCAAAGGGGATGCACTCGCTGGAGCTGTTCTGGGAGGATGAGGAGGAGACCCCCGGCTTGGCCTCCTCCTCCGTGTCTGAGCAGGCGTCCTCCCGCCCGCCCTGCACAGCCACCTCCGTCATGGGAGCGCTGGGCTCGCTGAACGTCCGTCTCCGTGGCTTGCTGCTCTCAAAGGGGTCCTTGCCAGTGTCAGAAAGCGTGGCACTGCTGGTGTCACCACCATCGTAGGCCTCATTGTTCACATCTGCCCCGGGGAGACAGTCCTGAGCCGCATGCAGCGGTTTCGGGGCCAGGAGGGGCTTGGGCGGACTCGCCCCCGGCGTCCCCTCCAGTGCAGCCGCCAGGCTCTTCACTGTCCTGCTGCGGCCGGCATCACCGGGGCTGTCACCCGCGTCAGCCACGTCCGGGGGGGCTGCGGGCTGCCGCTCGGGGTTGGGGGGCTGCTCGCCGTCTGCCTCGGCAGCGAGGGCACTGGAGACAGAGCTGAGGCGCTTGGGAGGCGGCGGCGGAGGGCCCTTGCGCTTGGCCCGGATGGCAAAGGACTGGCTGCGGGTCACCTTGGCGTCCGTCTGCAGACAGGCCCGTGGCATCCAGCTGCGGCCCGGTCGCCGCGTCAGGGTGGCGTAGGAGCCCAGGGTGCTTTGAAGCCTTCACCCCCGTTGTGCTGCTGCTCCCCGGCCTGCCAGGCGCCCGGGGCCGCCCCAGCCGTGGGCGGCATGGTGGGCGGCTCCGCGGGGCCACACTGGCTGTGCAGGTAGGAGAAGGCTTTTTGGGCCGACGTCTGCAGGCTGCTCTTCTGTCCGGAGGAGATGGAAGGGTATGGGTGCGCCAGGGCCTTGGGCTGCTCCGCTCCCAGCAGGGAAGGGACCGTCGGGGATTTCAAGGAGACGTGTGGGTACATGAAGACGTACGGGGCTGTCGCCTTGCTGGGGGTCTGGGGAGGGGTACAGGGGGTGACCGCTGGTGTCCCGGCACCCTTCTGAGCCACCGGCCGGGCGTGCTGATCCGTGCCTTCGGGCAGGTTCCTCTCCTTGAGAGGGCTGCCCCCGCCGCCGTTGGCATAGCTGATCAGCCCCTCGGGGGAGACGAGCTTCCCGTAGGGCTCGGGGCTGGGCCGTCCCGGCAGGCTGGCTGGGCTCTCCTTGCTGCGGGGTGGCGCGCAGGACTGCCCGCTGCTGCTGCTGCTCTCCCCGCTGCCCAGGCTCTCCTGCGAGGGGCTGGAGAGGTGCCGGGACAGCACGTTGTCCTGCGAGTGCCCCGAGCCCCGGGACCGCACCCCGATGCTCTCCTGGCTCCGTGACATCCCCTGGCTGCTCTTGATGCCGAGCGTCTCGTGGCAGCTGTTGGACATGGCCGTCTGGAGCTCGTAGCTGAGCTCACTGTCCTGGAAGGTCGTCATTTTGGGGGTGTGCGGGGACTGGCACTCCCCGTTCTCCAGAGACTCAATGGTGACGATGTCCAGGGCACCGGGGACTTTGCGTCTTGCCAGAGTTGCTTCTGCTTGGTTGAGGCTTTTGCGGAGGTCTCTGAGCTTCTTGACAGCCAACATGATCTTCTTCTGGTGGCCTGCAGAAGGTTCCAACAGGAAAGGGGCATTAGGTCAGCTCTGGCCCCCAAGGCCTTTGTTTCCTGACCAAGAAGAGCCGTGGTCATGTCACCAACTGGAGGCAAAGGCCTCCAGGTTATCCAAACCCTGCCCACGGCCGGCGTCCACCTGGCTCAGCCCGGCTCCAGCCTGCCACGGGGAGTCCTCAGGGACAGCCACGCACTGCCCTTTCCGAGTGCACAGGACATGGCTGCACCTCCCAGCCCGAGGGAGAACAGAGTGTGGGGACCGGGGTGGGAAGCTTGGCTGCCCTGGGCCACCCAGCACGGTGGCAGGGACTCACCCAGCTTGTTGATGCCAATCTCTTGCAGATCCTCCCACGTCAGGTCCGTCACGATGGTGATGGAGTCGTAGCCATTGTTCACCAGCTTTTTGTGGTACTGGGGCAACCCAATGGCACTGAGCCAGTCCATCAGGTCAGCCTGCACGGAGACACTGCCGTGAGCATCGACGGAGAGCCAGCACCTTCATCCATCCCCTCCCTGCCCCTGGCCAGGAGACCGTGGTTCGGGGGTCTCTCTGGCTGCATTAACGCAGGCTGTTGCAGCATGCGTTGACTTAAAAGACCCCCGTCCTGTCCTGTCCTGGGGGAAGGTGGCTCTGAGAAAAGACCTGGGGAAAAGAGGGTGCTGGACCGAAGCCCCGGTGCCAGGGACTCACCGGGATGTAGTTGGGCAGCCACTCGGCGATGCTGAGCTGCCCGATCTCGGTGGAGATCTTCTTCCTGTGGCCTGGTTTGGTCACGCCAATGGCTGTCAGATCCTACCAGGAGCAGAGCGGGGCTGTGGTTAGCAGCAGCACGGGGAGTGCAGGGCAGTGGGTACCCGCTGCCGGCAGCTCTGGGGGTGCTGGCCGGGGGGCAAGGACCCGCCTTACCTCCGGGGTCATGCGGCTGATGGTGGGGACGTCGTAGCCGGCATTGAGGAAGTTGGCGGTGTACGACTCCAGCTGGAACTCACTCAGCCAGTTGTAAATGGCTTCTGCGTCCTGGGGAGAGGACGGGGCAAAGAGCAGCCCGTCATGGTGGCTGCAGGGGCTGGAAGGACCTGGCTGCTCCAGGCAAGATGCCAGGACCTCCTTGGGCAAGACCCACCTGTCCCCACCATCCCCAAGACCAGGTCCCCTGTGTCCCCAGTGCAGCAAGAGCTGGGCTGAGAGCCCCAAATGTGGCTCTCCCACCTGGCACGCCAGGTCGCCAGTTGGCCCAGTTACCTTCCCCTCGAGGAGCTGCTCAGGCCGCAAGAACTGGTGGGAGAAGACCCTGTCTCCAGCAGGACAGCTGCCCAGGGTCTGGTGGCCCTGTGGCCCTGGCAGAGAGGAGAAAGGAGAATGGTTACGGGGGCACTTGGGCAGTGAGCAGCCCCCAGGGCCGGGGGGACGCTGTCCCCAAGGCCCCGTGGTGTTAGGACATCCCTCACCTGGCGTGGAGGTCAACTGCCCGTTGTGTGGCTCCGATCCCAAGAGGTGCTGCTGGAGGTCATCGCCGGCGGAGGGCAGCGGCTGGGAGAGAGGAGGAGTGAGCGGAGGAGGGCCCTCCCTCCCTCCCTGTCCCTCCAGGTGGGTGCCGGGGTCTGCCTCACATCCCCGGGGGTGGGGTGGGGGTCCCCACACTGGGCTGGCAGGCACAGCTTCACTTAGTGAAGGGCTGGCCCCTCGCAAGAGATCTGGGCAGGATTTGGCCCAGGGCCCTTTTTATCCTCTCTGGTGACACAGGACACAGTGGAGATGCTGTGTGGTACCAACCACAGCCTCCAGCCCTGCTCGGAAGGGCCAGCTGTGCTGTGGGGGCAACCGGGGACCCCCCAGGAGCATCTCCCCACCGAGTCCCAGGTGTTTGGTGGGGGATGCTCAGCTCCTGCAGCTCCTCCTTCGCCCGGAGGTGCAGGGGGTGACAGGGAAGGTGTTGGGGCTCCATCTCCAGCCCGAGCCAGCCCCGGGCAGGCCTGGGGGAGCAGCACAGGGGGAGCGGGGACTGGCGCCTACCCTGGCGTTCTCGATGAGGATGCTGGTGCTCTGCCCGTTGGTGCCCTCGGTGCTCTGGCCGCTGCCGGCACTGCGGATGCTGCCGATGCTGCCCTCGCTGCCCACGCTGTTCCTGTCTCCTGCTGCTTGGGGCAGGCGGGGAGCCCGTCAGCAGCGCCCCAGGATCCGGGCTGACCCAGGGCACAGAGGTCCCCAGTGGGGACCCACGTGCCAACGCAGTGACGCCAGTAAAAACCAGCCTCCCACGAGATCCCTCTGGCTACAGACACTGCATCGGTCCCTCCCGCCTACCAGTGCGCACGGCACAGACAGGGTGATCTGGGCTGGCAAAGGACGCACAAAGGGGACAGAGGGACACAGCCTGGCCGAGGACATGAGGAGGGAAGGGGCTGCTCTACGGGCTCCCCAAAACTCCCTTTCCCTGCGCCTGCTCCCTCTTGTCTGGCTGTTTCCCCACAGGGAGGTGGAAGGAGAGTCTCCCCCCGTGTCCCCCTGCGTGGGCAGGGCTGGGGACAGGGGACGGTCCCCAGCCCCTCTCCCTCCCCAGCTGCACCCCTGACCTGAGCTGTCAGGGCCCGGGGCCGTCCGGGTTAGGGTGAGGTGGCCATGGGCCGCTGGGACGCTCGGGGCTGCCTGCTGAGGACACTCGTCGGGGAGGTGCTGCGGCCCGCCGGCGGGGGCCGGGAGGGCCCCGGGGGAACCCTGGCGCTGGTGCGCGGGTGCCACGCGGGGGACAACCATGCCTGCATTCAAAGACAAAACACGCGCGGTCAGAGCTCGTGCGGGAGGCAGAGTGGGGGGGATATCTGAGCCTCAACCCCCAGATGGCCACCCCACCGACGGTGCAACCCCCTGTGCCCACCCGAGTCCTCCTCTTCCCCCCTAGCTAGCCAGGGCTGCAGGGACCTGTCCTACAGGAGGTGTCGGGAAGGCTGGGATGGTTTCACACAGGACACTGTCCCCGGCGTGCCCAGGACAGCCACTGACCTGTTCGCTTGCTGATGACTTCAGCGATGGAGGGGGGGAAGTACCCGACCCGATCGGTGCCTTTCTGAGCATCGTGGATGTGCCCCTTCCATCGCCCGTCCGGATGTTGCTCCAGGACCTGCCGCGGGGCCGAGAGGGACGGGGTTGGTACCTGGGGCCGTGGCGGGGCAGGGGAACAGGGAGCGGGGAGCAGCCTCACCGTGATGACGTCTCCTGCCCGGATGTTGAGAGCAGTTGGGTCATGGAGGTTCCAAAAATCCTTCAAAGCTCGGACCTTCAGGATTCCTGATGCCTCTGAAGACAATGGACGGAGGGAAGAAAGAAGGTGCCAGAGCGCAGGGGGAAAGAGAGCAGTTCGGGGAAGATAGAGGGAGAAAGCAAGAGTGAGGAGAGGAGAGAAGAGAACGTTAATACTGCAGGAAGGACTCGATCCCTGGACATTGCCCGCACGGAGGATGGGGGCATGCCTGATGGGACTGGGATGCCGACGCTCGCAGCCAGGCTGGTTTAGGCTGTTCAGGAGGAGCACTGGGAGCCCCCGGCAGGTCCCGTGGGGAAGAAGCCCCTCACAGCGCCAGGCAGCGCCCGGCTGTGCGCCGGCCCCACCTCACCTCTCAGCAGCTGCTTGATGTCCTTGCTGGCGTGGGAGGTGGTGAACTGGTTCACGATGTCCAGCGCCGTCTGGTTGTAGGTGTTCCTGATGTTCACATCAACGCCGCCCTGCCCGGGAGGGGACGCGGTCAGGGACAGACCCCGCAGGTGCCGCTGGACCCGCAGGAGACGGAGGGACCGAGGGGAAGGGGGTGATGGCCGAGCCCCAGGGGCTTGTCCCCCCATGCAGCCCTGTCCCTGCTGCGCTCACCTCCAGCAGCAACCGCACCACCTCTGTTTTGCCGTAGAGCGCGGCCTCGTGCAGAGCTGTGCCCGTCTTCGTCTGCTTGTTGATCTCGATCCCGGCCTTCAGCAGCTGCCTGGTAGGACAGAGGGAGAGGCATGAACGGGAGGACACGGACATCAGGGCCAGCCGATCGGCTGCTTTGTGATGGGAAGGGGACATCCCCTTGCACCGCTGAGGCTTTGGGGACGAGGGACCGAAGCCCGCAGCGGGGAGGTGGGTTTGGGAGGAAGCTGGACTGAAGCCATGACGGGTTTTTTGGGACAGGGCAGTGCCCTGGGCTGGTGGGGGGTTACCTGATGATCTCCTTGTGCCCGTTCTTGGCTGCCAAGTGCAGCGGGGTGGTGTAGTTGGGGTCGGTGGCATCCTTGGACTGTCCCTCCAGGAGGGCAACGCACAGATGGCTGTTCAGCAGCAGCTGGGCCACCTGCACGGGGCACAGGGGTGAGCAGCGGGGTACAGGCACCCCCGCCTGCGCCCTCCCAGCAAGGGGCTCACCCTTGGGGCTGTCCCTCTGCTCCCCATCTCCGCTCCCCTCCATCCGCAGCCCCAGGGCTCGGCCGGAGCCGGCCGGTGCTTGGCAGGGCCACACTTGCGAGGGGCCGTAAAAGGTCACAGTCAGAAATAGTCTTCCCATAATCAGGCTTTTCAGACCAAGCCCTAAAAAGCTCCAGTCTCTCCAAGCCCAGAGCGACTCTCAGCATCTCAGGGCAGCCCAGAGGCACAGAGGAGTTATTTTTACTGCCATCTTTATAGCTGCAGACATTATAGATACTCCAAAAATGGAAATATCCCCCTGGTCCCCTTCCTGGTAGGGCACGGGACAGTCTGGCTGGCCACGCTCCAGCCCAGCCCAGCGGTGTGGAGCTGGCTGGGCCGGAGTCTCCCAGAGCACGGGGCAGCCCTGTCCCCACGAGCCATGACGGGGACCTTGAGCAGCCGAGCGGGGCCGGGCGCCCAGGGCTTGCGGGGATTAGCCAGCTCAGCCTATCTGTGCTTAAATGGGAGCAAAGCTGGGGTGGGCGGGGGGAGGCTGCAGGGAACGGGGAGCGAGGACTCCTGGCTTCTCTCCCAGCCTGACGCTGCCCTGCCGCAAGGTCAGGAGCAAAACCTGCAGCTCCCAGGTTCAGGATCCAGCCTTGCCTGGCCATGGGAGGAGGCAGGTGCTGCCTGCCGGGCTCCAAGGTTCGTGGCAGAGGGAGAGCGGTCGTGGCCGGACCCAGCACCTTGCTCCCAGAGCAGCCAGCCGGCTCCAGAGCTGCCCCCGGAGAAGCGCCCGGCGCAGGGCAGAGCCCCGCAGCGCTCACCTTCAGCCGCCCGAACTCGCAGGCCAGGTCCAGGGGGGTTTTCTTCGCCTTGTTGATGAGGCAGGGGTTGGACTGGTGCTGGAGCAGCATCTCCGACTGCGGGGGAGCAACGTGGTACAGGGGCTCAGCATCATCCTGCGCCCCTGCCTCCCTCCCGCCCGGCACGATGGGGTTCATCCCCACCCGCACACCCCAGAGAGACCCAGGGTGGGCGCGTGGGCTCTCACTTACCACCTCGTAGTGCCCGTACTGCGCGGAGAGGTGCAGTGGGATCTGCCCGTCCAGCGAGGCCATGTTGACGGAGGCGGCGGCACGCAGCAGCACCCGCACTGGCTCCACGCGCCCCTGCCAGGCCGCATAGTGCAGGGGGCGCATCCCTGCGGGGGAACGGGGCTCAGCAGGGCTGGATGCGGCCCCCGGCCTCGCTCGGAGGGCTGAGCCAGCTGCTGGAGGCACGGCGCCATGCCGGGGGGTGACCCCTTACCGTTGCTGTCCTTGATGTCAACGGTGGCCTGTGCCTCCAGCAGCAGCAAGATGAGGTCCAGGCTGCCGCCCAGGGCCGCGTGGTGCAGCGCCGAGAACCTGCGACACAAGGCAAGGCTCAGCCCAGCCCCGGCCCCCGCCGTGCTGTCCCTACAACCCTGCCTGCACGGGGACGCGGGCAGGGACGGTCACCTGCTGTTCACGACTACGCTTCTCCTGATTCCCCACTTCCAGCGCCTCAGTCTCCCCACAGCAAAGCAGAGAGAAATCCCTCTGTGCTGTCTGTGCCCCAGGGCTCAGCGAGGGATGCAGGGGCCCTGTGCACCCCTGGGACCCCGGCGAGGGGTCCCTCAGCCCCTGCCCTGTGCAGGGGACAAGCAGGTGGGATGGAGAGAGATGCATCTCCCCTCTCCGCGGTGCAGCCAGGCAGCCCGAAGCCGCGCTGCTCACAGCATCCAGCAAACACACCGGCCCTGCGGCTACTCCTGGCCTCTCCGCCAGCCACCCCCTCCCCGTGCCAGCAGGGATGCCGGGAGTCCACGGCACAGTGTGGGAGGCCGCTGGTAATGAAAGAGCCCTGTGTCTCGGGGCTGTGAAAGGGGCCCGTCTGCCCGGCGCTCCCCCCGTGCTGTCACGTGAAGGGCCACGGCCGAGTGAAGGGTCCCTGCGCTGCCGGGGATTAGCCCGTGTGCCGCTCCAAGGGGCACGGGGAGCTCCAGACAGCGCCGGCCCGGGGCTCTGACGGACTCAGCAGTGTCCCAGCCCCGTGCTGGCGATGCAGCCCAGCCGGCACAGCTCTCCTCCCGACCCGCAGTCCCAGGGCACCCCCAAATCCCTGCACAGCGTCTCTAGGCATCGCAGGAGGGACGCTGTTCCCTCCTTCAGTGCAGCCACCGTGCCCCGAGCCCACGCCAAAACCTCTGCCTCAAAGTGAGAACGCAGGGGGTACAAAATCCCCCCAAGCCAACCCTGTGGGGATCCCTGCAGGGCCAGCTCGGCCCTGGAGGCGGCTGCGCAAACCCACGCTCGCCCGCCAGATCATCTCCAAGCCTCAAGCGAGGCGATGCTGAGGACACCACCAGCGGCGTGGCTCTGTCAGGAGGGTGCACGCTGCCGTCCCCGTGCCAGGGTCTCACCTCCCCACCATCCCCTCCCTGCGCCCCAGGGAGGAACGGACCCTTTACCCCCCTTCCCATCAGCAGCCCTCCTGGAGCTGCCCGAGCACAAGCCCTGTGCCTTATCAGAATCAGATCATCGCTTCTATTATTACATTTTTTTTCTCTATTAAGCTCCATCTGCACAGTATTATTTTAAGACAGAGCCATCCTGCACATTTTCAACCCCCCGCCGGCCTGTTAGGACTCATCATGGACACCTCCTCCTACAGAGTCCTCAAAAAGAAAACATGTAGAAATTAGGTACAACAACAGTACATAAAACAATGCTAATAACTCACGGGTCAGAGTTAATTCAATAAGAATAACATGCTTATTTATTTTATGGGCCTTTGCGGTTTCTTTAACTCTCAGTACCCAGCTTGTTAAGTGCTTGGATTTTGGAAGTGATGAGCTACGCAAATATGCTGTGGTCACTTGGCAACCTCATCTTTTCTTTCTCTAACCCCCCCAAACGAAGGGATTTTGCTCCTGGGATATTAAACACAGGCACAAGCACACGCAGGCGCTGGGGCTGGCCGGGTGCTCCTCCGTGCTTTAACCTGCACTCGGGGCACTGGCGGGACACGCTGCGGTCCCTTTTCACCCCCAGCCTGCGGAGCGGGACGCAGAAGAGCTTTAGGAAGGATTTTGCAGGATGGATTGAGCACAGCCCCCAGCGCAGATCCGGGCAGGTGCTGGGTCTGCCCTGGCTTCGGGATGCTGTTGCGTTCTCCAGGGCTCAGCAGCTGCCCCCGAAAGCTTTACGATACCCAGAGCTGCAGAACCGACTGGACATTGGGGAGAGCAAGCCCACCCATGCTGCAGCAGCAGCCCCCAGCACCCTGCCCGGGGAGCACTCACCCGTCCGCATCCTGGTAGTTCACGTTCAGGCGCTTGGCAGATCCCAGGAGCTCTGCAAGGAGAAGAAGCAGAGGTCAGGGCAGGAGGCGAAGCCCACGCCGCCCCACACGGCCCCGGGACCCCGCGCGGACCCCGTCCTGCAGCCACACCGACCTCCCAGCGCGCAGAACAGCGCCTGGCCCATCCCGGCGGCCTCTCCTCTCCTCTCACTCCACGTTCACCTCCACGAACCCTCAATGGGCTGGCACAGCTCAACCTCAGACCCTTTCCTCACTCTGTCTCTCCTGCCCCATCTCTGTCTGCCCCCGGGACGGGTCGGACCCGCAGCTCCTGTCGCCCTGGCTCAGCGGGACGGCGCTTCCCTCCCCTTTATAGGCAGCAGCACCCCAAAACTGCTGAGCGGGGCCATTTTGCCCCCCACTCGCTCATTGTGCTCGCCGCTGCGGCCGAGGCCTGGCCCACAGACCACATGGTTGGCATTTTTACGGCTGGGGGAGAGGCTGAAGCCTCCGGCCGTGAATGCAAGGATTGTGTCACCTCGGATATCCCCGTCCCCCCGTCCCTCCCCTTCGGGGACCACTGAGCGGCGGAGGATGCTCACCCCACCCTCGGCACAGCCTCACGCGCGCCCCTGGCTCCCCACTCCTTCCCGCAATTAATACGAATGAATTCCTTCCTCCCACACGGAGAGGACGTTTTATTCTTCACCAAAGGGTTGAGAGCGGATTAACATCTCTGGAATTCATCCGCCAAGTCAAAAGGGAAAGAAAGGGGAAGGTATGCGGGGGGCAAGAAATGCCGCCACTCCTCCTCTGCCTTTCCAGGCAGCCCCATTGCCGAGCTGGGGAGGTTTAAATGCTTTGAAAGGTTTCTGTGCTGTTTCCTATGGAAAATCAAAGCCCGAGAGCTGGGCTCCGAGCCCGGGGTGAGCTGCTCAAACCCCACTGAAACGTGGTGGGGTCCCAGAGAAGGAGCCCCCTCCCTCGCAGCCAGGCAGAGCTCCGGGGCTGCAGCTCCCTCTCCCCCTCTCTCCATTCCCTTCTCTTTTCCTCCTCTCCCAAGCTCTCTGCCCACCTCGCATGGCAGATCCCTTACAAAGCCATACTCTGCCGCATGGCCCCTCTGCCGGAAAGGAGGCTGGAGAGGGGGCCAGCTCATTCATCATGCAAATGTATAATTAAAGGAAACCAAAGAACGGTGTGTTCATTACTGCAATTTACAGTGTTTTGTAAACAGCCTAATTAACGCAAAATGGGCTTGGAGTGGCTGCTGGTGGAGGACTCGTGACTTGCCACAGCTGAGGGGATCAGGATGGGATCACCCTAATTACCTCTTCCAGGGGCTGTTCATCTTCAGAGCAGCAGCAAGCAGCTCCGCCACCCTGAAAGCCCTTCCCAAAGGAACCGGCTCCCAAAGCCATGGATCAGCAGAGCTCCTGCTTTTCCCTTCCAGCCCGTATCGCCCAAGAGCCCAGGATCCGGGGTCTCTATCAAGGACCAGCCACTTCCCTTGGCCCCGCCAGCCAGGACAAAATAACATTTCCCTTGTGAACCAGCCACTTCTGACCCGAGTCGTGGAGCGACCGTAACCACTGAGCCCCGCAGTGGAGCCAGGATCAGACCTGGGGCGTGCAGCGGAGCCAGAACGGGGTCGGCTGCGGTGGGCAAAGGCCTCGTCCTGCCCCTCCGAACGTCTTGGGGCAGATCCTGCAAGGGGGAGCAGGAAGGGCTGGGAAGCGTTTGCTGCTGGGGGATTTCCAAAGGGCACAATCAAGACAAAATTAAAAATAAACAAAGGGTTCCACTAAGCTGTAGGCAATGCCCACGAAGCCATCGCCTCCCGCTCCCCAAGCAATCCTCCAGCCCCCCTGCCTTTTAGTTGGGGTTTATAAATAGGTATTTTTAAAGGATGCTCTGTGCAGTAGGAACTGAAGGCCAATGCAGGTTTGCTCCCATCAGCTGCAGCTGAAAATTGCCATGGGGTTTTGCTGCTGAGAAAGGGTGGGGAGGAGGAAGAGGAGGCGGAGGGGTCCTCACCCCGGCAGGAGGGGCAGAGCCTGACCCGTGCCAGCCGGGTGGCAGAGCAGAGCCGGGCGGGCAATGCGGGAAGAGAAGGGCTGGATGGAGATGCCCACTGAGCACAAGCACTCTGAAAGAGGCAGAACCATCCCACAGCCCCGGGGGCTGGTCCCGCAGTTGAGCAATGCCCACTATTTGAAGAAGGAGAGCTCACCCCAAAATCCCATCCCTGTCCCCCTCCCACAAGGGGACCGGGCTGGCCAGTGGGGTCCAGTAAGCAGGGCTGGGATGCGGTGGGTGTCCCAGGACACGGCGGGTGTTCCTGCCCGCTCCCCGGAGGCAGCTGTCAGCATCTGCATGGCAAAACGCCTGTGTCTTTGCTCCTCTCCTGACCAACATTCCTCAAATTAGTTCCCTGCTCCGGCAGCCCAGCAAGGTCAGGACACAGGGCAGGACCACGCGGACACAGCGTGGGTGGCGGGGAAAGCAGCAGGTCCCAAAAAGCGGAGCTGGGAGCAGCATCCCCTTTGGGGCTCTTCCCAAATGCGAATGCAATAACACTCGTATCCTCCTCGAGCAGGAAGGGAAAGTGTTCATCCCCGGTTTGTAGCTGGGTAAATCGCTGCTTAGAGAATTGGAGGGTTTGCAGCCAGGCTGGAAGGTAAAGCGTGGGTAGGAAAGGGGCCAGGCAACCTGGCACCATGGGCACAAAGGAACGAGCGAAGAGAAGAAGAGCAAAAGGATGGAGGGGAAAACAGAGCACAGCCAGGCAGCCAGAACCCCGTCACCAGCGCCATCCTGCTGCACACCTCAGCACCGTACGGCACACGGGGCTGGCAGAGCAACCCCAAAGGCAGCCCTGCCTCCGCGGGCAGCCAGCGCCGGGACGGGGTGAAGCAGCAGGGCAGCACAAGGGCTGCCAAGGGGGTGCCACCAGCCCCTGTCATGCTCCTGGGGACGCGGTGACAGGAAGGCGGGCGATGGGATGCTCCCCTGCATCCCTCTTCCTCGTTCCATCCGTGCGCTCCTTTTGACCAATTCCTGAGTTTTTCTCCCCATTTCTTCAGCCCCTTCAGGTGCCCTGGCACCTCCAGGCTCCTCAGCCTTTCCCACCCAGATGTTTTGGGGCTCGGCAGAGGCTGGGCCAAGCCGTTCCCAATCCCAGAGCCTTCCCAGACCGGCTGGTTCGGAGGCGCGGCTCCGGCCAGGAGACCACAGAGCTGGGCTGGGAACGGGCTGCGGGGTCAGGGCTGATCCAGCCACAGCACCAGGATGGGGTGGCGGAACCCTTCCCAGCCGCACCGTCACCTCCTTTGGGTTTGCACCAGGGTGGGAGCACCTGTGGGCCTGATCCGCACCCTCTGCTCCCTGCCGGGAGGACACTCACATCCCGGGAGGATGAACCCAGAAAAACATGGACCCACAGCCAAAATGCAAAAAGCCCTCAAGCGGATATTTCCAGGGGAAAACCCGGCTTGGCGCACCCCAAGGGTTAACTCCAGCCGTGGGTTCCCCCTGCTTGGCCCCGCTCCCCAACACGACCCCTCCAAGGGGTCCAGCCACCCCCCGCCCCGCTCTGCCCCCCGGCCCGCGGCCGCCAGCGCCTGCCCGGGCAGGACGAGGCTCAGCAGCCCAGGGCCGGGGCTGAGCGAGGCCTCGAGGGAGCCCGAGAGCTTCTGTGCAGCGTCTGGCTGCCAAGCAGCAGGCGGGAAGCACCTCCGGAGCGCTCCGGCAAATTGCTTACAAATGTAGGGCCCGCGTGCTCCGCCGGACACCGGCTGTGGCGAAGGCAGCGTGGCCGCCCGCTCACCAGACAGGGCCGAGACCCTCGTCCGTGGCACGTTCTGGCTCCAGCCCCAGCCGGGGGGAAAGTGCCGGACCTCAGCCTTTCGGATCCTTGTTGGCAGGGGGGGCCGGGATGGCGCAGCCCTGCACGGCGCATTTCCAGCCAGCTTCCCTGACCAAGCAGCCTCCTCCGTAGTGCTGCGCCCTGTGCCTCAGTTTCCCTGTGGGGCTGGGCTGCGCCCCCACGGCAGGGATGCCAGGCCAGGCTGAGCTCCCCGTGGGGTGCAGGGGGCACCCAGGGAGCAGCCACCCAGGGCAGGCGCCTCACCTGCACCGCTGGCAGCCAGCCAGCCACAAACCTGTATTTACTTCCCCGGGGTGCTCGCCCGGCACCGGCTGTGCCGGCTGCATGGAGCCAGGCGTGCCCTTGCCTGGCCAGCACCCCCTGTGCCAGCACGCCGGGCACCCTGCGTCACCCTGTGCCCTTCACCGGAGACCTCGTCCCACGGAGACACCCTTGGCCTTCGCCCCCAGCTCTCGGAGACGGACACAATCCCTCTGAAGCGCTAAACCGCTCACCGCTTGCTGGGAAGAAGCGACACACTCGCCTGGGTTTGCCTGGGGAAGGAAATGCCCAAATGCCCCGTGCCTCCCCCAAAGCGCCCCTTGGAGACTCCTGCCCTGGCTCTCACACAGCGTCAGGCTCCAGAAAGCAGTGCTTTTGCTGTAACCCCCCCAATTTTGTCCACCCAGCGTGGCCACAGCAGAGCTCCGCCACTTGCAAGCCTTTGTCTCTGTGGGACAGACAGATCTGTAACTGGAGACCCACCTCCTTGCCAGAGACGCCTTGAAAAAATACATCTTTCTGCTGGCCCTGTGTCACAGACCCTCGTCCCTGCCCCTTGCCCTGGGAAATCACATCCCCACACCGCTGGCTGCAAGTATCCCTGTGCCATGAGCCTCCCTGCACTGCAGGTCTGAGCATTCCTGTACCACGAGCATCCCTGTACTGCCAGCCACAAGCATCCCTCAACATCCAGCCTGAGCATCCCTGCCCCACGAGCATCCCTGCCCTGCCAGCTGTGAGTGCCCTGCACGCAGGGATGCCTGGTCTGGGCACTGCAGGAACACCATCCTGCTGCCCCGGGCGGTGGGAGAAGGACCCTGTGCTCTGGATGCACTAAATACATGCACATACCCCCCTGAGAAAATAAAGTCCACCTGGGGACCATCACCACTAAGCCAACAA